ACTAGTACGAGTACTAAACCCTAAACCCCAAACCCTAGACCCTAAACCCCTAGACCCTAAACCTTGAACCCTAAACCCCTAAACCCTAAACCCCCAACCCTAAACCCTAAACCCTCAACCCTAATCCCCTGAACCCCAAAACCCCAAACCATAAACCCTAAACCCCTAAACCCCAAACCCTAAGCCCTCAACCCTAAACCCCTACACCCCAGACCCTAAACCCTAAACCCCATCGTACTTGCAATTGTTTCTATGGCAAGGATTTTCCTTGTAGGATCCTGGTTGCGACCCTGCAGAAACATTCTGCCCGAGACCAGCTAGATCTTATAATTAAATCCGAAAACTACGGATGACTGAGGTGATCGCTGCCAAAAGTGCGTCGAAGCCAAGCAGGCCAATCGGTTCCTCCAGAGAATTCGAATTCTCGTTTTGGGGTTTATTAGGTGTTTAGGGTTTAGGGGGTGGGGTTTAGGGTAGGTTTAGGGTTTAGGGCTTACTTGTTGGGCATGGGATTGCTGTGTAGATTTGAGAAGCCTGGCTTCTAAGTGCTTCAGGCACGGGATCCGGAAGCAAAAAAGCTTTCAAGCCAAATGCTTTCATCGGTCGAAAAGTACAATTATATATATATGCTGCTACGATCCAACGCAGTGCCTGTCAGGGGGATCTTTCATTTAATTCGATTCGAAGCCCATCATGTACCATGTGATCATGAACTAAATGGTCAGGGCCATTGCCTCAGGAAGACTGGACCAGCCAGTTCGCTTTAGATCTTAAGCAACACATGGTTATATGAAGATTGTTCAATCCCATGGCCAGCCCAGTAGCGCCCGAGCACTTGCCCAGATTAAATTAACTAGGCCTTGCTATGCTAGGTAATCACTCTGCAGGCTGGCTCGAAAGTGGCAGGGGCCATCGCGGCTTCCAGGAGCCGTTCTCAATCTCTGATTTGAGGAACTGCACAAGGGGTTCCTGAGATCATCATCAAACCCTAAAACCCCTAACCCTAAACAAAAACCTATAGACCCGCTGAGCAGGAGCAGTAACTGAACTGGCGCGGATCCCAATTTATAATGTTAATTAGCTATAAACTCTAGCTCCCTAGAAATTGGGACGAGTCACCAGATCAGCAGGGGACCAAATGGAGGCATCTACCTGGTTGGCTTTCTGAAAAGTGCATTCGTGCTACTACAGGGACCTGGGCCTCACTTGGACGGTTCGGAATCTGCAGGCTCGGCTTAGGGATTGGCGGGTTTGAATTATTAGGGCTGTTTTTTCCTTGCAGATTCGTGGCTGGGACCGGGGCGAGCTCAAAGTCCTCAGCCGAAGGCAAACTCGGGACGTAGCCGATGTCCTGGGTAATATATGCTATAGCATAAAAACTGCATGCAGCTTTGCAATTGAATGGCAGGCCGAGAACCCAGAGCGAAAACCACAAGTGCATATTTTATGACAAGTTTCGACACTCATGCACCGGTGAAAGTGCATAATCCTTCGGCAGAACCTCGCCGGGTAGCTTTCGGTCGAGGTCAATCGCGGCCCCCCAGTCCTGGGCTATATCATCGTATCGAAATCGCGGGTATGCGGGTTAGTATCGAGTATTATTATAATCATGATATCATGATCAGAGTGACACAGCTACCGTTCCATCTGCTCGCCGCTTTCGGGTCACCACGCCTGTTGAGTTCCAACTCGCACGTTTCGCAGGATCCAACGTCTGGGCTTCGGCAAGCTGGTGCAGCCAAGTCCTCAAATTCGCGCTCCAGGATTAATAGAGTCTACAAGTAAATTTAAAACTATAGCTACACAATGCAATCCTGCAAGCAAGCTTCATATTTCCAAATAGCATCGTACGCTTCATCGTCGATGAACCATAGTGCCCCATCCAGCTCGGTTGAAACTAGGTACTGGTAGCATATTAGGTACAGCTGCCTCTAGAACGATGGGTTCGGATTTTGGATTTGGGGGTTAGGGTTGGGATTTTTTGGTGTTTAGCAGGGTTTTCGGTTTAGGGGTTTAGGGTTCACGGGTCATGGGATTTAATGTATAATACAGTCCGAGGTACAAGCGCACGATGTGCGCCGGTGGAAAACCCAGCCCGAAGATGTTAATCTGCATCAGAAAACGAACTGCGCCGATATAAGGTAGGAGTGAACTGGAGGGCTGCTCGCATCCCCACTGGCATCGTCGAACGAGAGCCACCACAACCCCAAGCACCCATCGAACAGCCAACAGGTTTCCCCTCTGGGTGCTTGCTTTAGAGCTGTCACCCATGGGGTATGCTTTCGATCGGCACGTTGTCGATCGTGAAACCCAAACGAAGCTGCTGCATGGAAGCCCCGAGAAAACCAGCGCACCTTCCTTCAGCCGTAAAATGTATTGTAAATACAGCATAAGGCCTTGCCTCAGATGGAGCGAGTCGTCTATACAGGATGATACAGGTCAACTCAGCACTGCCTCATATTATTAGCTATCTAAGCTTTAAGCAGAGCTGCAGGGTGCTAAGATCCTGATAGCTGCGTTTCTTCTTCTCGAAGTAGGCAGGCCGGAGTCCTTGCATGCCTGGGTAATTGTACATGTACTTATAATTATATGCTATAGCTTCGAAGACTAATCGAAAAATAAGGGCCGCACGAGCTGCCCAGAAAACACCACACCAACCAGCAAACATATCCAACACATCGATGTCCTGAGCAATGCCACTCTATAGAACATTTAGACTCTGCTGCAGCTTGCATGTCCAATTGTGCATGCAATCGCCAAGGTTCTCTGCGGAATCCACGGTGTGAGGTGGCTGCGATGTAGTCGAGGGCATGCAACCTCGAGTGCAGGCTGCTTGCGAATTATTGGACTCGCGAGCTCACTATCGATCCAGCAGCTAGGTGATCAAGTAGGTGCTGTCTAGCGACAATATGCAAGGAACATGCAGGTGGCACAGCAGCTTGTACTGGAGCTCGGTTGGATCCAGGGGGCGAGCCATCAGCTTCGTTCCGACTATAACACACAGCAGGCTAGGATCAGCTGGAAGAGATGCGGTGCATTGTCCATATATCATCGCACACTGCGCAGCAACTGTACGTACGCAGTACAGAGACATGTACGTGCCCAGGGCCCACGTTCCTAATCCTTATAGACCCCTAAATCCTAAATTAAACCCCAACCCTAGCTATAAAATATAATTCATGAAATTGCAAACCCACACATGTGCATATTTCCCCACATGTAGAAGCCAGCTTCAAGCTCCAGGCAATAGCCTTAAATGGCTGTTTAAAGCTATGCCGTGTGCACAATCACCTGGGTGCAGGGCGTGCTCCCTCTCGCTCTCTATATATGCTATAGCTACCTATAAAATGTAGTGTCGCAGCATAGGGATCACCCCGACGCACTACAGTGTCGTGACCCCTTTAAATCAAAACTCGCAGTGCCAACGGTCGGACCATCATGCGCGAGACTTCGACAGCTCACTCAATTTGACCTTTGCAATCTCAAACTCGCTGTTGACGGTGTCGAAGGCAGCGCCACTGTCAAGAGCTCGGCACTTAGCTTTAACATGCATTGCAAATCACGATGCACATAGCGCGGGAGAGCCCGGGAGAGAGACTGAGCGAGAGAGAGAGAGAGAGAGAGAGAGAGAGAGAGAGAGATCATAGATTGCAGATCAGTAACCGCTTTGATGCACGGTTCCAGAAGCTCTTCCCAATAAACATTCTCACGAACATTCGCTGTGGCAACGGAGAGCACCTTAAGAATTCGATCTCGATTTACATTTACACGCACACACACACACATGCACACACAAGTTCAGCCATCCATGTGCACACCGAATCATGCTAGTGTGTCTGCACTCACCGAATGGCCTGACTCCGGGTTTGGTCCTCCAGCGCCTGCCGGACAACGCCGACCTCGCCTCTGCTCCAATAAGGCATCACCTGGGCGGGGTATACTTTCAAAAATTAATATCTACACTGGCGGGGCCGACTCGAAATTATTGCTGTTGAGATTCGCGGTAGCGTGGCAACTTTGGCAGCAGCTTTGACAATCTCGCTCGCTCTTCAAGGGAGATGTCCAGGTAGGGGTTCGTGCCTGCGAAGCATTTCAAGTTTAAGTTAATGCTGGCTCTCGAGCTCTATATATATACACGACATGATATACCCCACCTTGCTTTTGGGATGCCTCTGGCTTGGTAGTTCTGGCTTTCTTTGAGGCTGGCTCCTTGGGCTCATCACTTCCGGCTGGGGTTTGACCTCGTCCTCGCGAATTGCCTCGACCTCGGCCACCTCGGCTGCCTGGGCCTTTCGGCGCTCCTCGCCCTCCACGGCCACGCCCGCGACCACGCTCTTGGACAGGAGCTGCCTTCCAAGGGTTTTTCGCAAGTCGCCTTAATTTAGTCGGCACATGTACATGTACATCGTGATTCTCTGGGATATGCAATTTGCACAGAAGACACTACATGTACACGTGCATGTGTAACTCAATTCAAGATGCAGTTTGGACTGCATAGTCGGTAGCTCGTGTTCTGCACATTTCTCCAATAATAGCTCTCGTGCTTTGCTATCCCACGAAGGTGGAAACCGAACGAGCGGCTCGTGATCCTTAATTTGCAAATTGCACATGCAGTATATTATGGGTACAGAATTATTATATGTTACGAAGATCCTGTCCTTGTCACTGGTGCGTGCAGCGGTGCCCTTCTTCGCGGGCTTCGGATCATCCTGCACATCAGATATATACTATAGAGCGAGAGCGAGAGCGAGAGCGAGAGAGAGAGAGAGAGAGTGCAGAGAAAAATAACATGAAAGAGACAAATAAAGTGAAACGAAAATGCTCTTCGTCCTGGGCTTCCACGCCCTCCTCCTCCTGGCCAGTCCCGGGCCCATCCATTTCCTCTTCTTGCTCGTCCTCCCCCTCCTGGCCAGTCCCGGGCCCATCCATTTCCTCTTCTTGCTTGTCCTCCCCCTCCTGGCCATCCATTTCCTTTTCCTGCTCGCCATCCCCCTCCTGGCCAGTTTCATCCATTTCCTGTTCCTGCTCGCCCTCCCCTTCCTTGCCACTGGCATCCTGCTCGTCTTCATTCTGTGTCTCGCCTTGGGCGTTCGATTGCTCTGCCTCCCACATTCGAAGGATATCCTTAAGCTGCTGGATCTTGGGTCGCCTCATATATTTTAAATGCTGCAGAATGCACTGAAAATTTAAACATGGACATGATCATGCAGCTGGTAATGCAGACCAAGCACTTCGATCGACCCGGCGTTTTTCGATAAAGCCGAACCGTGTACACCAAGCGAGCTCGGAGAGTGTTGGCATTGGCCATGGCCCATGCCTTCGAAACGACAGTATCATGATCCCATATATATATATATGTAGCATAAAATACACCAAGCGACCTGGAGCTCCTGCTTCTTCGCTCCAGAGCCGAAGAAGCCGTGCTCGTGATTCAGCCACAAAAACGCAGCCTCATCACAGAGTATATATTGGGCACTACACATCATGATATACATGTCATAACACGATGTGCGTCTAGATGTGCATGTGCATGTATCATGATATATATGAGCGAGGCGCTTTAAACTTCGATGGGAGAGGCGCTCGCAGACCGAATTGCGCACATAGTGGCCCGAGCACCTCGAAAGCCTTTTCGATGGCATCGTCGCACATGAACTCAAACTCCTCCAAACAATCATGAACCTTAGATTCTCAGGCATTGTGCTAATAGTACGATCCTAGCTAGGTACGTCCATGTTGCATTGCATATATACGTCCATACGTGCACACTGCACACTGGAGATCAAGTTGCCTCGCTGGTTCGCATGGTAGCCGCCAAAGACACTGGCGAACCCTCCGGCTTCTTGCGGACCCACTCGTCTAGAATGTCTTTGAGCAACAGCAGCCTCTAGGCAAGCGGCAGAAGCAAAAGGGAAACACTGCAAACATCATAGCTAGTATCATGCTGCAACATCAGAATTACAACATACAGTTGAGAAGCTGTTCGTCGTCTTCAGCATCATCTTCAGGCTTAAGGTCTGCAGGCTGCTCTTCACATTCATCAGCCTTCTTAGTGCTAGGCATCATTGGCCTGCTCTGGAGCAAGCTGCTGCATGTGTCCAGCCAAAAAAAGCTGCTGAACTCTCGGTCCCGGCAAAACAGCAGAGTGCAACTTCCAAGCCAGCTGCAATATAGCATCCTAAACACATGAATCATATGCAGGCAAAGCTGGATCAGATGCAGGCAAAGCTGGGGGGTGAGTCCTTGCTGCTTCAGCAGGATCTTTCGGCGTGCAGAAAGTGCAGCTCGCATCAGAAAGAGATCCACAGACGCGCTCCATGGACGGATAGGTGCATATATTCTAGACGATCATATGGTTTGGGTGAGGTTTTTGTTTCGACACTCACACTCGCACCAGGAGGGACGTGACTATGAGGTTTTTGTTTAGGGGTCCGGGGTGTCGGCTGTTCGTCTTATGCATCCAGCCAATGCAACAATCTAGATGATCATATGGTTTGGGTGAGGTTTTTGTTTAGGGGTCCGGGGTATCGTGTGTTCGTCCTATGCATCCAGCCAACAACCGCTGATATCATGAAAAAACATATGCATCCAGCCAACAATGGGCTGATATCATGAAAGAACATATATCATAAGCTATACAGCTACAACCGATAGGCGCAGAGCGGCAAACGGCCTGTGCTCAAACGCTG